TGGATGTCCTGCGACAACCTCATGTCGGTCATCATGCCCTCCATGTCGTGAGTGAACTGCGCGCCGCCGCGCAGCTTGAGCTTGGCGATCATCGAGCGCTCTGCGCTAGCGCCCACTGAGGGCGCCAGGAGCAGCGCTTCGCGAGCTGCCTCCTGTAGAACTGGGAGAAGATGACCTTGTCGAACAGATAGCCAAAGAGCCGCACCACCTTCTCGAGCTTGTCCTCGAGCGCCTCGTCCGAGAGCAGCGCGCCCGAATTTTTGAGCAGGTTGTCGCAAAAGTTGGAGAGCAGCTCGGCGGTGGCGCTCTTGCCGATGTCCTTGTTGACAAACTCCTCGAAAGCCTCCCTCGCCGCCTTGAGAAACGTCGCGTCGCCGTTAAAGTAGCCCTCGCCTAACGTCGAGCCGATGATCTCGCTGTACACGCCGTCGAGGTCGAGCAGCTCCTGCACGTCGCCATCAGGTCGCCCTCGGCGTTGGCTGACTGCTTCTTGACCAGCGCGAGGCCGGCGTCGGTGATGTGCTTGCGCACGATGTTTGCGATCGGCGGCAGACCGATCGGGACGAGGCTAAACAGCTCGACCATGCGGTGGTAGTGCTGCCTCGAGAGGGTGGTAGTGCTGCCGCCGCCGCCGCCGCCTCCGCTGCTGCTGCCGCCGCCGCTGCTGCAGCCGCCGCCGCCGCTGCTGCCGCCGCCGCTGGTGTTGCAGCCGCCGCCGCGCGTAGAGACGGCCAGCAAGTTCTCGAGCAGCTCGCGCACCCGAGGCAAGGTGAGGTCTTCAAAGGCGCTGCAGGCCTTGCGGTAGGCGTTCTCCGCGACAGAGAGCTCCGTCCCCGCCGCCTCCCGCCGGACAGCCTGCAGACAGCTGCAAGCCCGCGCGCCGGCTCGCACAAGCTCGATGCGCTGGGCGCTCTCGCTCTCTCCGAGCCAGCGGTGGCGCCCTGGGCAGCACCCTGCATGCTGGAAACGGCGGTACGGCCGGGTCGGATCGAGGGTTTGGCGGCAGGGTTTGGACTTTTTGTTGTCCCCTGACACAGTTATTGTTATGGTGTTATGGCTCTCGGGGCATAGCAGCCCATAACATGTGGGGGGCCCATAACAGCCATAACACCCATAACACTGTTATGGGCTGCTACAGTGGGTTTCGGGCATTAAGAAAACGTAGTATTAAGAAACCACGCCGAGCGATTTTCGCGAAAATCTAAGAAACCACGGCGCGCCGCAGGCGCGCCGGCTGGCAAGCGCCGCAGGCGCGCAGGCTGGCAAGCGCCGCAACACACTCACCCAAACGCCCCTGTGATGCAGTCGGTTGGCGTCGACGACCACAAGGTGCCGCCCAACGAGACCGACCAGGTGCAGCCGATTGATCGCGGCATGGGGCGCCAGATCAAAGTCTACCTCGGGCAGCTGCTCGATGAGTGGCTTGACGACGAGGACAACCTCGAGAAATGGGAGTCGAACAAGCTGACGGCCTCCATGAAGGCGCTCCAGGGCGAGGCCAAGCGCAAGTACTTCGAGCACGCTCTGGTGCCCTGCTCACAGCCGATGGCACGGACGACGACCTCATCAAGCTGGAGGGCGCCCCCGCCGGCTACAAGGTGGTGATCCCGCAGCTTACTTATTTTTTTATTTTTTGAGAGCGCCTTCGTTGTTAATAATACAAACCCATTGGTCCTGTGTCGCAGTCACACTTGTCGCAGTCACACACACGCACACGCCAATCCGCACCGCGCGCCCGGCCACCGCCTCGCCTAGCGCGCCTCGCACGGAAAAATGCCTCGGCCCAGCGGTCCTGAGTGCCGGCCGGGGCTAAGAAACCACGGCGTGGGCTGGGGGAGGAGGGTGGAAAGGCTTAGAAACGGCGGCGTGCCGCAGGATCCTGTTTTCTTAATGCCCGAAACCCACTGTATGTGTTAGGCTTATGGGATGGTCCAGCTGATTTCCGACTTTTGTGCGCCTGACTTGCCAACTCCCGTGGCAGCAGGAGAGCAATTTGCTTCTGAGCCCACAGTGCACTGACTGGTTGGGATGTAGCAGGTTTTCCGGCAAACAAAAAGGAAAACAGAGGTCACCAGCACTTTGCGTTTCCGGAAATTTCCAGGGAAATCAGAGGGTGTTTGGTGCTCCATTCTGGAAACTCGCGAGTTTCCCTGAGTCTGAGAGCTGGTCTGGGGCAAAATCTGAGGCAAAATTGAGGAAATCGACAAAATACCCTGGCGGTCGTGTATATGTGTATACACATGTGTATTCTGTGTATATCCTTCCGCTGCCGGCGCGGAAAACGAAAAGTATGGCGACCGGGCTCGACACACAGCGTGGTCTCGCGCCGTGAAGGGGCCTAAGGGTACGAGAGCTGTTTATACATATATGTTTTGCTTGTGAGTACAAGGAGGAATGGATCCATTAGTGCGCTGTGG